CATCAGACAGTGGCATTTTTCCTCCCCAGGAGAACCCGCTGGCGAAAGACGTGTGGGAGCGCGCCAAAAAGCTTACAGCAGAATATGCGCAACCAGGACCCCATCTTCACATGCCATATGAAGAGGCTGCTGAGTGCAAATTTGGTTCTGAGAGACCTGGGCAATCAAAGAAACGATGCAAAGAGGTTTGAAGTTTTGAGTTGCAGCTTTGTGCAGGGTACAGTATAAATTAAGGTAGACGTATACAACGAGGGCCCACCACGACGAAACCACATTTCAATGTTCAATGGTTTTGTGGCAACAGAACAGAGCCACGTGGCAAAGTTTTTTTAACAAATCAATTACGCCGCGTGTTGCCACCCCTTGCATGCGCTGGCCCCGCTCATGGCGCCTACCCCTTCCCCCTTTCAGCGGGGTCTTTGATGTGGCTGCGATTACTGTACCTCATACCCGGCGTCCGTGATCTACTTTCTTCTGCGTCCGTGGGATGTCTTTTTACATTCTTCAGTATAATCCGCGCTGTTATTTCCTTGTGCGAGATAGGACATCCGTGCTAGAGTCGTTCATTCAAACGTGGGCGTCCGTGGGCAGCCGTGCGAAGTAGCCAGTTGGCTGTGAAACACCGGGAAACCAATTACCCATGGGAAACGATGACAGCTCCAAATCCAAACATTATGGTCCCCTATAGCATCTTTGGGTCAGACTGTGCCGTTTTTTGTGGCGCCAACAGCAGCGACCAAAAATTTCGGCGCACAGGCCTCTTGTAGTATCCTAAGGGGGTGCTAGTGATGTGCAACTTGTCTAACTTGTTTTTCGAAGCAGCGTGTTGCAAAGTTGTCATCGCTCACGGAAAAACTGACTCTTTAGTCGAACTTTTGGTGCCAAAGCTGGCTGGGCGTATCTATTCTGGCCACCAAAATGCGGCCGCCCCTTCTTCCCATGGAGCTGCGCAAGTGCAACGGCCCGATGCGACGCGATGGGATCTGGAATGATTGTTTTTTCTGATTATTCGCCAGCTGCAACGTGTTTGATTCTGACACACGCACACAAACACACTTATGATTTGGTGTACGGAACTGAATGCCACATGCCACACGCCAGCCTAAGAAACCAAATCCTGAAAAGTCCAGGAGAACCCTATGGAGCCTGGAGGTCTTCAAAAGGAGAAAGGGCCAAAAGCTCAAGACCGAAAGCGACGAGCCGGTCGAGATGACGTCGTGCGCTCATGTCTGCCAAGCTCATTAGCACTTTACTGGAAATTGGAGTCAAAGCTTGTTCAAAAGTTCAAACAGCACGTGCAGCTGATCAGGCTGCATATCCTGAGGTCACCATAGAGAGCTTCGTTGGGCACAGCTCCATGGGCCTCCTGTGCCCCCCTGCTCAAACAATTCAAAAAGAATCTCTGTGACTACAAGGGGCATTCGCGCACGCCTCCCCCAAAAAAGGCTGCTCTTACCTAGTAACGTCCTTGCGGAGCCCCTAGCGTCCCATTCTAAGGTCCTGACACGAGGGGGGTAGGGAGAGGAGAGAAGAAAGAAAGAAGAAAGGAAAGGACAAGAAGGTGTTCCCAGCTACGGCGCAAGCGTCCAAGGACACACCAAGAGAAGAGGAGAAGGGTTCCCAGCTATGACGAAAGCATCCAGGGACACCCAAAAGAAGAAGGAAGAGGGAAGAGGGAGAGAGGAAAAAGACCGAACACAGGTGTTCCCAGCTACGCGCAAGCATCCAGGGGGTATACCTGAGTGTTACATTCAGGAATGCACCAAAAAAAGGAAGAGAGAAGAAGGGGAGGGGAGGGGAGGAAGGGGGCTAAGGTCGCGACAGGTTCCAACGAACCTCAAAAGTACTTTGACCGCTGCGGTCACCTTGTGCCCTGCCAAAGTGGCTGGCTGCTTTGACCGCTGCGGTCACGTAAAGGCATGAGCCAGCTTGGAATTCAATACTTCAGCAAGTCTTGGCAAAAACTTTGGCATAAGCCTCCTACGCTACTCTGGCCCCGGGCGCAGGGACGAAGACGAACCCCCGTTCGACGGGTCCACGGGAGGCACTCTGCGGGCTCATCCCAGCTCTCACTAGGAGAGACACGCTTATGATTTTGTGTACGGAACTGAATGCCACATGCCACATGCCAGCCTAAGAAACCAAATTGGAGCCTGGAGGTCTTCAAAAGGAGAAAGGGCCAAAAGCTCAAGACCGAAAGCGACGAGCAGGTCGAGATGACGTCGTACGCTCATGTCTGCCAAGCTCATTAGCGCTTTACTGGAAATTGGAGTCAAAGCTTGTTCAACAGTTCAAACAGCAGGTACGTGCAGCTGATCAGGCTGCACATCTTGAGGTCACCATAGAGAGCTTCGTTGGGCACAGCGTGCCCCCCTGCTAAAACAATTGAAAAAGAATCAATCCCTGTGACTACAAGGGGCGCACACACACTCGAGATATTGCGTACGGAACTGAATGCCTCATGCCACACGCCCGCCTAGGTTTGAAAGCCTAGGAGGTCAGGGTAGAGGTAAGGTTAGAGGTATGTACGGCGGTTAAACCGATCGACGTCACGTGGAAGAGCCTGGTCGTCTAGAGGAGAAAGGGGTTACTCAACATCGCAGCCAGATCGAAGTGCAGGTACAACAGTTGGCGTCCCAACTCTCTTCCAACTGATTTCCGTAGCTTCGTTGGCACGGATAGGAAATCAGTCTCCGCGCCCCCCTAGTTAAAAGTCAGAAGGGGAGAAAACACAATCAACACTTCAAGGGTTTCATGCACACACCTCCCACAAGGGGAGGCGCGAAGAAGCTAAGGTTACGATGGGTGTGCGTGTGTTCGCGCGGAACGGACAAAAAGATGATGACATGAAAGGAGGGCAAGACAGACCGTGTGTATGTGAGAAGAAACCAAGTGACCAGGGACAACCAATGAACCCAACCCTTGTAAAAAACAGGGCGACCTAAGATTTTTTAAAATGCGAGTGCGCGTATACACTAAGGGCCGGACCAATGTGTACGCAAAAGAGAGAAGGGATGAGGCGCCAAGACATGAAGACAGCAAGACATGACACGAACAATGAAAAAACAGCGTGTAAAGGGGAGAAAATGAAAGGGGGAAGCAAATGGAGGGGCCGGAAACCGACGATACCAGACCTGATTTAAAAAAACTAGGTAGACCTGGCTTCGTTTAGATGGTACACGCTGTGTGATGCACCTAAGGTTGCGACAGGTCCCAATGGACCTTGATAAGCTTTGGTCGCTGCGACCACCTCATGGCACATGACTTTGGCCCACTCCGTCCGCTCTGGAAATTTCGTTTCCTGGCAGTGGAAACACGGACAAACCCCTGCTCAGCAGGGCCATGATATGCACTCCGTGGGCTCACCGGTGCACAGGCCAGACACACTCGAGGTATTGCATTCGGGACTGAATGCCTCATGCCATGTACATCTGATTGACCATCGAGAAACCGATCGACGTCACGTGCAAGTCTGCAGACCTCAAAAGCACCTGAAACAGCCTGGTCATCTAGAGGGGACTCAACATCACAGGTGCAGGTACATGAGTTGGCGTCCCAACTCTCTTCCAACTGATTTCCGTAATTAGCTTCGTTGGCACGGATAGGAAATCAGTCCCCGCGCCGCCTGCTAGTTAAAAGTCAGAAGAGGAGAAAACACAATCAACGGTTTCCCTGTGACTCCAAGGGTTTCACACGCTTGTTGTGGAATTTGTGCGTCAATGTGTTCAGTCGAGCAGCACTTCCTCAATTGTACAAGGCGTTTTTCTGGCTCAATCTTTTCACTTGTTTAAAGTATCCTGTTGTTGGGAGGTGCTGGCAAAACCGCCCTCCACCACATTCAAAGAACTTGTTGAAAAGAAGGCGCCCAGTATACTGTATAGTGTAGGTGATAAGGAACCGCGTTTCATATTCTTGCTTGTTTTCTTGGAAGATTTTGAACTAATATTATTTGTTCTTCTGACCCTGTGTGGTTTGTTCTGCAGTCGGAACCAATCTACAAACTGAGGCTTGGCTGCAGACAGCAGCTGAAATACTTACATTGACATTTTTGTTGTCGCGTAGCCTTACAGCCATCGGCTGACCAAGGACCATCCACGATGTGAAATTTCATAAGACTCGCGATGTGCTACTGCAGCGTGATGGTTCTGAATTTCATGGGTTTGCGGCTTCTAGTTCCAGCTTCGAGGCAGCAGGCATGTTGTCAAAACACTTCAAGAGTCAAGAGGAGTCGGAGGTGTACAAAACATGAACAAGTTACACCAACGCGAACTCAGTAGCCACATGTTTGGAGAAAGGCGACTTCTTTCTCAGGGTGTGCACCACAAGGAACCCCCGTGATTGAGGCTTTGAGTATTTGATGCGGCGCACCCTCGAGGAAGCCTTGGTCCCAGAATTGAGGGAGAATGTGGCAAGAACAATTGACTACATGATTTGCTGTGACTTGAGAAAGTGTCAGTGTGAGGCTGAAATCTATTTCGAAAAAGTAAAAGGCCGCCGCAGTCCTTGGCAACCTGAATTATCGCCATTTCGAAAGGATTACGGCAGCTTGGTGTTTCTCAGGCTTTGGAACCTTTTGCCACGCTTTGAACTCTATGGACAATTTCACAAATCACAGGGGTTCCCAGTGTCAGGGTTCGTTGCTCGAGATTTCAGTTTTTCAAGCTGACTCCGAGGACTCAACATTGCAGACCAGCCCATGATGCCAGGCTAAGGCACATTCACCAACATTCAATATGTAAAGTGCAGCAAAGTTCTGGGAGAATTGCGAAACTGCAAAGTTCCTGGAGACTCAGACATTCCGAGGAAAAGTCAGGAGTCTTCTCAGTTCAATCTCTTGGGCTTTGTTCATACTGCCCAGTCGAAATGACTGGAAAAGCTACAAGATCAGAATGGTCAGAATGGTGAAAAGAGACCTGTTGCCTTCAAGTTGGCTGACATCGACTTGTTTTTGAACTGCATGTGGTTCTGGTTGAGCGAACGATGCAGCCTGGATCGTTGAGGATGCTTTGCTTTTACAGAACTTGCCCGAATCGCGACGGTCACATGCCTGGCAGCCTAGATATCCTTCAATCTGAAATACTCCTAGTCAGGGGACTATTTGCATCAAAGCGTGTCTTGCCGAAGGTTTGCGTGCTGCTGATTTGGTTGGCTGTCACTCTGGCCTGCTGTGTTGAGGTGTGCCGTGCCTATCAGTGAATTCTATTTCTGTTCGCGTGGAACACCACAAACTGCACGTAGGTATGGGTGTGCGCTGGAGCTGACGCCGGAACAACATGGCTTTTCGGGTGACCAACGATTCAAGGATGCTGACGGTTCGGACATGTTTTGAAGTAGGTTGGAGGCAATCGGGAAACATTGGTTACGAATGGTTCAAAAGTGTGACAAGGTACTTGATGGAGCTGCTTTATTCTGCAGATCATGTTTGGAGCCGTAGTGCATCTGAAAGGTTGGGAAGGCTGTTGCGTTCTCAAAAAGTTATTATAATGGGTTTGCAAGACTTATATAAATGAACTTGTGAATTGCACTCCATGCATTCATGCAGGGCCGTCACGACCTCAATTCACGAACGCCCGCCTCAAGACAAGGGTGGGCGCCGCAGCACTTAAAGAGCCGTGGTTGCGAAAAGGGTCGACTTCGCGAGCGACACTTCGAACAAGTCGGAACCTCGTGCGTCCGCACTTCTTGCTACCATAGCATTTGCATGGTAGCGGAGCTCTGACCTAACCGGGTCATCTCCAGGCACCTTTCACACTACAACCTCTCAACGCACAACACTGACCACTGCAACAGCATTACACCACACCACAAGCCACAACAAACTGCTACACGGGCCGACAGGCCTTAGCCAACTCGGGTCGACAGGCCCCAGCACCAGTGGATCGACAGATCCTGGCACCCAGGCCAACATGGCCACCGCCCAGGCCTCAACAAGCCTGGATACGACAAGCTTGAGGGACAACTACATTCCCCAGTTCGATGGCCAACCTCAATCGTATGTTGAATGGAGAAAGCGCATCAACATCTACTACCTCAAGATGAAGCTCCAGAAACGAACTGGAGAATGCTGCCTCACTCAACCTGATTGGCAGTCTGCAGGGAGCAGCTTGGAAAGTGGTGGAGGACTTCGACCTGAAGAATGTCGAAAAGGAAACAGCCTTTGACACCATCCTTGAGCTTCTTGACAAGGCATTCGCCTACGACAACAGGGTACAGATGCCGCAAGACTTCGAGAACTTCTTCACCCTTGGAGTCAGGAAGCGAGGCACCACAATGCTCCAGTTTTGCACCGAGTTCGATGAGAAGTTCCGTAAGGTGCAAGCTCATGGTGTCAAGTTGCCGTCGCAAGTCCTTGGATGGTTCCTCCTCAAAAAGGCCAACGTCACCAAGGAACAGCGCCAGATGATCCTCACTCAAGCTCCTGGACTGGAACGCCAAAAGGTTCAGGAGGCGCTGTACTTGATCCTTGGACAAGATCACAAGGCCGCTGTCATCACTGACAAGCGCCCGTTTGGCCGTGGCAAAAAACAACGTGCCTATGTGGTTGATGAAGGTTGGGAGGATGAGAATGTCTTCTATGAAGAGGAGTTTGACGACCAGTACGACTACGATCAAGTTCCCATCGAATCCTGGCAAGAAGATGAGTCAACCTTTGACCATGACGCCGGCTACTTCCAGGCCGATGAACCTGAAGAAGAGGAAGGATTCGTTGCCGCCTCAGCTGAATGTGACGTTGATGAGTATGACTCTGCCTACGCCACCTACCTCGATGCTCGGAGACGTTTTGCTGATCTCAAGCTGAGTCGTGGCTATCTCCCCATCGTTGCCTTGCAGGATGACAATGCATCACCATCTACATCACCACCTCGCACGCCATCAAGGGGCAAGGGACCTCGCAAGGGCAAGGGCGGCAAGAAAGGGAAATCAAGCTCCGACACAGTTCGCTATCCACCACGTTCCGGTGGGAAAGCTCCTGATCCTCGTGCTCGGTCAACAGCAGCAATTCAGTGCCTTTGCTGTGGAGGATCTAGTCACATGGCTGCGAACTGTCCCAAACAGTCAAAGACTTCAGGTGGTACTTCATCGCCATCCTCTCCTTCGAAACGACAACACACAGAAGGGATGGCAGCTTCTTCAACTCCGATGGATGAAGCTGGACACGTGATCTTTGAAGACCAACAGGGACGACAGCGAGTGGATGCCACCATGATCGATCCTGGAGCCTCAGCATACCTCATGGGTACAGGTCCTTTTCATCGCTATGTTGAGCACCTCAAAGGCCTCCAGTACGATACCGACAGCATCCAGCTCACCCGGATCCAGCGAGTTTTCCATTTTGGAGGAGATCATAGTGTGACACGTCGCTGGCAAGCACGAGTCCCGGTATTCTTCAATCACGCTTGCGGATACATCACCGGATTTTTGATCCCTGGCGAAACGCCAATGTTGATGGGCAGACCTGTCTTGGAGAATTTGGGTTTGACCATCAATTTCCAAAAGAAGCTGACGATGTGGGAAAACGCTCCTTGGCAAGAGATCACCATTGGTCGCCGCGGGGAATACTTGCTCCCGCTCACCTCGGACTTCAGGCCAGAAATGCTCAGTCAGCCACCGTCGTTTGACCTAGTCCTGGCAGATTCCGCCCTCACCGACACTGATGAGCCCTACACCGTGAACTTAAAGACGTACATGAACGTTGAGGGGGTCTCTCAGGACAGTGGTCATTCGTCGGAAGCTGACGGAAGCAAGAAGGTCATCCTGAAGGATTGGAAGCGCTTGGACAACTCCCTTAACCACCACGAACGACAGCTACAAGCAATGGTGACAGCTGAGTTGCATTCCGGCCCACGTCCTCGCCTCATATGGGAGATCTACGCCGGTGCCTCCAGAGTGTCCGAGATCGCTCAATCGCTTGGTTGCAAAGTTGAAGTGTTTGGCTATGAGACCGGTTGGGATTTTGACATTGCATCTCACCGGAAGGCCCTGCTCGACAAACAAGCTGAAGAACTTCCTGATGAAGTGTTCCTTGCACCACGTTGTGGCTTATGGAGCAAAAGGCAGAGCCTTTCAGCCAACACACCTGAGCGACAAGAGCGTCTTCGTGAAGAACGACAACACCACCATGATGTCCATCTTCGCTTTGTGAGACAGATTTATAGAAGACAAGTACTTGGAGCCCGACGCGCACATCTGGAACAGCCAAAGGAAGCACTATCATGGCAGACGCGTGCACTCTTGCCAGGTTTTCATGTCGACTTCCACCAATGTGCCAATGGAGCTTTCTGCAAAGATGCTGACCATCAATGGCGTCCTGTGCTGAAGCCTACAGCCTTGAGGACTACCAAGAAAGCCATGGCGCAGGCCATGAACCGCACTTGCGACAAGTCCCACGACCACTGTCGACTTGAAGGTCACATGCCTGGTGGACGACTTCGTACGAAGTACTTGGAGGACTACCAACCTGCAATGGCCTCCATCATTGCAGTCAACCTGGCAGCCGAAGAGACTCCACAGACGTGGAACTATGGCTTTGCAGGTGATGAAGCGTCACGATCGCACCAAGGTCGTTTGGTACAGCTGTTGACCAACAATCAACAAGAAGCAGTCCGTGTTGTGCAAAAGCTTCATCGCAATCTTGGACACCCAACACCTGAGAAGCTTTGCGATCTTCTTCAAGCTCGAGGCGCTGCTGACACCATCCTCGAAGTCGCAAAGACCTACAAGTGTGCCAGTTGCGAACACATGCGGAAGCCTGCTCATGCTGCACCATCATCGGCCAAGGTCATCTCCACCTTCAACGAACAAGTACAGTGCGACGTGATGTAACAGTGCTCAGTTTCAACCAGGTCAACTATGCTTCTATTGGAGAGATGCCAAAGCGCCCGACCTTGTCAAGATTCGCTGGAAAGGCCCTGCTCGTGTTTTGATGAGAGAAGACGACAGTGAAGGCCGACCACAACTGTACTGGAGCAGCCATAAGTCACAACTCCTTCGATGTGCGCCTCACCATCTACGACCGGCCATTGACCAAGACGCCAGCACCCTCATCGAGGGACTCCAACACGCCAAGCGTGATATGGCCGCACTTCGAAGTCGTGGAGTGACACGTATGTTGGATCTGAATGTGGTCAACCGCCAGCGACTTGAACATGTGGAGTCGGAGGAGGAAGGCGAAGACTTGGAACAAGAAGAGGAGGAGGACACACGACCACCACTGCAGCGTCGCCGACTTGATGCACCAGCTGGTGCGCCACAGGTTGCTTCACCACCACGACCAACAGGCGACGCAGACATGGTTGAAGTCGAAGACACTGCCGAGTATACTCACCGACCTCACCAGCACATAGCCAGCATCAGCAACAAGCTGACAGCCACAGGCACCTGAGCCACTGGCACTACCTTTTGAACGACCAACGCCTGAGCCATTGGCAGATATCCCTGATGCTGAACTACCGGCAGTACCACCTTCTGCACCTCCAACACCATCTCAGAATGAGCCCAAGTCCACCGCCACCCGTAGCTGCTGCGCGAATCCCAGCACGACCTCCAGCGCCAATACTTGATCCCGCAACAGCCGCTCTATATCAAGTACCACAACCAGGTGAGACATTCCAACTTCTGCGCAACAGGTTCGACCAACAAGAGACCATCTCATTTGGCAACCGCCGTGCTCGAACACACTTGCTCACAAGCAGTCCATGGAGCTGGACCCTATGACAAGCCAGCCGCCAGCCACTGGTTCTGATTCATTGGAAGGGTGCAGTTTTGAGTTGGATGATTTGGACATTAGCCTACTTCCACCTGGCTGGCGCATTGAAGACGGCTACATCACTTTGGATGCCCAGGATCAAGACCTCTGCGCTGGCTGCCTGATCAGACACCGTCTGATCCCAAGAAGGACCAAGTTTTGCCCTCAGTTCCTTGGCAAACATGAGTTACAGCGCCGGCCACTACCTCTTGACCGGTTGGATGATGTTCGCATCACAGTGCAACGTTCTGGCAACCAACTTCGCCAGGAGTCCGACTTCATCCAAAACGGCAGTGGCAAGCCTTCTCAACAGACCTGGACTGGGACAACCATCTTTCAAGTGAATGGTGAAACCAGGAAAGAGATGGGCGTGACCTCACACAACGTTCAAGACGCCCGCCAACTTGGTCGGAAACAAAGAGCCGCAGCCAACAAGAAGATCCAAAAGAACAAGAGCGAGATCAAAGAACGAGAGCTGTCCTTGGAGCAGCGCCTTTTGTTTCAAGCTGCAAAACAAAAAGAGCTTTCATCCTTCTTCCAGAATGGCGTCTGGTCTTTCCAGACAACCAAAGAGGCATCACCTGAGCGCACCTTGACCAGTCGCATGTTGCTCAAATGGAGCAAGAAGATGGCTCGCCAAGGGCCAAGGCTCGACTCGTTGTTCGAGGCTACGCAGACGTGGACGCCCTAGCAGGATCCTTGGAACAGCATCACCGGCCTCCACGAGACTTGGCAAGACCTTGTTCCTGAGCCTCAGCAGTTGTTTGGGATGGACTGGTTGGTCCGCTGATGTCTCAACAGCCTTTTTAGCAAGGACTACCACAGGAAAGAAAGCTTTGGGTGAAACTGCCAGCTGATGCCTTGGCACTTCTTGGAGCCGACTCCGACGCCCGCATGTTTTTGCACAAGCCAGTGTATGGCCAGCTTGACGCCCCAAGGCGATGGTTCCTCGAGGCCAGTTCCAGGCTTTGAAAACTTGGCTGGAGCCAGCGCTCGCTCGACCCTTGTTTTTGGATGTTGTTTGAGCCTCAGTCTCAAAAGCTGGTCGGCCTCCTATGTCTTCACGTCCACGACATGTTGGGAGGTGGAGATCTTCAGTCGGAGACCTACCAGCATATGGAGAAAGAGATCAAAACAATGTTCAACTTCAGAACGTGGCAACAAGATGAATCTTTTGAATACTGCGGCGCCGACATGTCCCGTGAGACCGACGGCACTTGGGTGGTCAGCCATGAAAAGTACCTCCAGAAGATCAAGCCCATGGAAAAGGGGAGACCAACACACTCTCCAATGACTCCCAACGAGCAGAGTCTTCTTCGTGGCTTGCTTGGAAGCCTTCAGTGGCCAGCCGTACAGAGCAGTCCACACTTGTTGGCAAGCACCTCCTTGTTGAGTGGAGAGATGTCCACAGGCCTTGCAGCTCCCATGTTTGAAGCCAACCGCCTCTTGAAGTTCGCCAAACAGAGGCGACCTCAGGCTGTCCTGCATGTTTGATGCAGCGCAGGGAGTTCGACATGACGGAAGCAGCCAAGGTGGATTTCTGTGCTTGCTCACCCACAAACAAGCATTCGAAGGCGTTGAAACGCCATACCATGTTTTGGAGTGGAAATCCTTCAAGTTGCCCCGTGTTGCTCGCTCATCCCTAGCAGCTGAAGCACAAGCCGCAGGAGCTGCAGCTGACAGTGTTGAGTTCATCGTCAGGTTCTGGAACGAACTGATGACTCCAGGACTTGATTTGAAGGCCAACCTGGCCATGAACACCTCATCGCTGCAGCCGGTTCTCATCACCGACGCAAAAGCGTTGTACGACACGTACCACCGTGACGCCTTCAACCATATGGGTCCAACGACAAGCGGACCGCCTTGGAGGTGAAAGTCATTCGACAGCAGGTCGAGAGCTTTGGTGGCAAGCTGAAATGGGTTTCTTCAGAGCGCCAATATGGCGATGGCCTCGCGAAACTGGCCGCCAGACAACTTCTGGCCGATCGCTTACGACGCGGAGCGATCAAATACACCTGGGACCCCGAGTACGTGGCCGCCAAAAAGAAGACGGTGGAGAACAGATGGAGCAGTCAACATGAGTTCACAAACACCAAAACGCAACGAACCACACAAGAAGCACCAAACCAACACACAAGACCCACTACAATCAACAATGGATGGAACACCATCCACGGACACGGGACCCGACACAGAGGCCCGGCACGAAGGACTTGAGTTTGCCGCTCGCGAAGCGACCGAAGCAACAGCCCCTCGGACCGGTAGAACCTCCGCGCGTGTCCCGGGCCATGGACATGGTTTCCTCGCGCTGATGGCGCTGATGTTGCCAAGCGCTGCCGCTGCTGAGAGCGCCTCTTCGAGCTCTACGGCTGGAATGCGGTGGCCGCTGATGCTGGTGGCTCTTGGCGCCGCCTTTCTGTGTGGCCTATGGGTCGCACGCTGCCGCTACTTGCCGCAGATTGCCAGTCTCGAGCGATCGGTCAGGGAAGCCGTGAGCATCAGAGACCAGGCCGTGGCATCCATGGAAGTGCACCACAACCGCTGCTACGAGACCCAAGCCGCGAATAGAGAGCTGAGAGGAGTTCAAAGTCTGATGCAGGAGGAGCTTGACCACTCGAGCCCAACTTGAGGAGCTCCGTGGACTTCACGCTCAACGAGCTGCTGTGCCGCCGACGCCTGAAGAAGAAGCCGGCACGCGCGCGGCAATGGAATCAGAGGCCAGATCGGCCCTCATAGACGCGAAAGCGATCCTCGACCGAGCCCTACGAGAAGTGACAAGATCTTCATAGCCCCGAGAGGGCGAGTGTGGCACCTCAGCCCAGATTGCAGAATTCTGGTCAACCAAGCCTCGGACGAGAGAGTCTACCAGTGGTGCACGACCTGTGCATCGATGGAGATCACGCCAAACAGACTTCACCCGAATACCCAGAGGACCTTGGCGGATGACATCCAGATGTTTCTCACCCATCATGGAAATGTTTTGTACGAAGCTCGTACACGCAACGAGCTTTTTCTCCTGCCGTGGATGCACGGCTACTTTGGGCCATGGCCGGCCTCAATGCGACAGGCAGGTTTGGTGCCCGATGGACAAGGCTGAAGGTCTTGGACGGCCGAAGTGTTTTCCCCCTTTCACCTGTGTGAATTGCACTCCATGCATTCATGCAGGGCCGTCACGACCTCAGTTCACGAACGCCCGCCTCAAGACAAGGGTGGGTGCCGCAGCACTTAGAGCCGTGGTTGCGAAAAGGGTCGACTTTGCGAGCGACACTTCGAACAAGTCGGAACCTCGTGCGTCCGCACTTCTTGCTACCATAGCATTTGCAGAACTTATATTACTATTGTATTGATTTCCCGGGAAAGTGCAAGTTGATCTTCACGATGAAGGATGCAACTTGTGTGAAGTGTTCATTGCTCAGTGAGGTTTTTGTGATACAACTTGTCTTCAGCAACTTGGCATATCCGGAGTTGTCAGCAACCAACACCAACTGTGACAGCGGTTGTACATATGCGGGGATTCTTAGCCCTTGAAGTGCTTTGGCCCCTGAAGAGCACTTTTGGTGGACAAACATATCCAATGAAGGAACTTTCACCGCGTCGGAGATCTGACACTTTGCACTGACTTTACGAGTGGAAGTTTGTCAATGCTTCCAGCCTTTGCAACACTTGAACACATACAGTACAGCAAAAGAGCTATCAAGCGATGCACCTCCCTGCAACATACTTGAAGCGCCTCCACTGCAAACAACAGTGACTATTTTGCTCAATGTGATCCAGGGCAAGGCTAGAACATTGACAACACATGCTTGATTTGCTCCGAAATACATTCTATAGAGTTGATGTCTGACCCCATATGCCCCTCTTCAAGCAATATCACAAATCATTCTTTAAGGGTGGAGATCGCTTGAAATAAAGATTTTTGTTTCTTTCACGTGTTATGGGCTTGCAGACCTTTCATGATTCCTGCCTGACCTCACATGTTTGGACGCTCGAGGAATATACATATATACTTTAGCAGACCACTACTACAAATCAACCGCGACAGAGTTCAAAGACATAGCATAGCTCCAGTGGAAACATCAACGCTGTGGTGAGAGCCAGAAAGGACTGTGCACTGTCGCAAATAACCAAGGCAGCTTGGACACACCTCACAGACTCATGCCAAAGGCGATGAACTTTGTGATGAGTTTTGAGAAGAGAACTGGATGCCCCAGGCATTGTATCTTGCGATGATTGGCAACATGGCCTTCCGATTTTTGGGTTTCTTGCGCGTCACCCTGGCGTTGTTTGTCACGCAAGCAAGGTTTTGGGTGATATCATCTCATGACAAGAATTGTGACCACCGACATTTCAACTAATGGCAGGCTCCAGTCAACACCAGATTCTTTTCTTGGGTGATGGGTACTGGTTTGGTTTATGCAGGCCTGACTTGCTGGATTTGAGAATTGTAAAGGTTTTTGTCATGCAGCGTGAAACTCCAGGAATTTCTAGGCTTGTCTTCCAGCGGCTGGAGCACTGCCCAGATGTTACGGAGTCAGCAGTGGGGCCGGCAAGATTTGAGCAGCATTATTGGCATTGCAAGATGCATTGTATGACTTGGCGCGTTGAACTGCATGAATTGTTGTTGTCAGTCTTGCTTGTTGGTTGTTTTTGTTTCCTTTCTTTGCGAACAACGGTCTGATGCATTGCCAGATTGTACGATTTTTGCGCCTTCTCCTTGGTGAACGATTGGGTGAATTCTATGATGAGGAGGGCGAGGCTGACCAGCTGTGTGACTTAACGCCCATTCTCTCCCCCTCGCGTGCAACATCAATTTATATATGAACATGAACGACAGTTTAGGCCATCCTGGTAGATGTCAAGGGCAAGGCAGGTCAAGTGAATGTCAGGGCAATTTTCTAACATGCTGCAGAAATGGATTTCAGAAGCAGAAGAGAATGATTTGGTGGATGTCAAGTGCTTGACCAGCAGCCTTTTTGTCAGTACCGCATAAGCCTTTTGGGAGTGGCCTTGTATTGCACTTAGTTTCTGGAGCCGAGTTGAGAACTGTTCCGTGGAAGTTGAACCCGAGGCTTTGCCTTTTTGCAGTAAACTTTCTTCTCAGCTTTGACGCTGGCCACCCAGAAGGGTCACAACTGATTATCCCTTGTTTTTGGCTACGGCGCCGTTAGCGGCTGTGGGTATTTTGCACAGCTCTGATAGAGAGTTCAGCCATAGACTTTAGTTGTTGGCTGGCAAAATGGAGAGATGGAACCATGCTCAGTTCGGTCAGAAGTCACAAAGTTATGGAGCGGCGAAAGCATCATTGATCACTGATCACAAGAATTACAACAGATTTCTAAACATGTTTCAGGTCTGGCAGGCTTGGGTGAACATGTATTCATTACTGCCATAGGTTTGAACCAACGAATGTTTTGGCTCAAGTGACTTGGCCAAAATAGCGTTTGTTCTCTCTTTTTGAGGGCGGAACCCTTGGAGAGACAGTTCTTTTTTTGTGCAGGGAGGGACCCTGTTTTCCCATGAGCGAGTTGGGAACCAGCCTTGCTGCCTACACCAGGTACCAGGTGATTCATGCCGCCTCGTGGATGGAGTTCAGCGCTCACCTTCAGGAGCTGGTTGCTGAGGGGCGCGAAGGGGAAGCTTTGCGCCTCTGGGCCTCCGTGGTGGAGTTGGTGCATCTGGGGTCCCCAGGGCAGCCCCTCTCCATCGCTGGGTTCCCCCCGGTACGTCGGTTCGTATGTACCAACATACCGTGTGCAAGGTGCACCGACCGTCGGGGCGGCTTCCAGTTCCCATGGGTGGGCGTATGGAGCCGCCGCTGCTTGCTGGTTCAAGAGGGACTTGGGCCAGCGGTCGCGTGGCAGCGTTACCATGCCTCTGCGGCGCGCTTGGACCGCCTGGCGCTGCAGTGGATTGCCTTTGACCTGGGCCCGTTGGACATCTTGCCGGTCCACGTTGGTTTGGCCGTGGAGCGGCTGGACGACGGGGACGATGGCATCGACACCGAGGAGTTCTTCGAGCTGGTTCGGCTTTGGCAGCAGGGGAGGCGGCCATGGCGGGAACCATGGTCGTCCCTGGTTGGGACCCCAGGCATTCCCCGTGAAGTCGCGTATGCCGGCCGATCCATCCGTGCGATCCTGGGGGCCGTGGCCTATGACGTTGAGTACATCCCCCCCCTCTGCCTCCTTTGTCGCCTGCCCACGTTCGAGTCCTGTCGAGTCTGTCGATCGATCGTTTGTGAGAGCTGCAACTTCTGGTCAAGGCAGTGCCCGCTGTGCATCGACAGTTCTGGCTCAGACTAGTGCGATAGTCCTTGCAGGGCTCATGGCTGATAGGGGCGCTACGCGGTCGAGTCAGCGGGGAGCTCCAGGTGGGACCCGGAGACCTCGTCTGAAGTGGCCCAAGCCGCCCGTGTTCGTGAGTTCAGGGAGCAATACCACCTCTTGGACGATGCGGACTTCGCTTTTGCCTTTCGGTCAGCGGAAGAGGCCTTGTTGGCCGGGGGCCGGGGATTGGCCGATGCTTGGACCAAGGCCCGCTCAGAGCAGACCGAGGAGCTGATGCCGTTGGCGGCCTCTACAGTGGAAGCTGGCTCGAGTCGTGACAGGCCGGCACATGCTCTTCACCTCCCCGCTCCTCCGGTGCCTGTTCGGAAGGGAGTGACCCTTTCGCAACAAGCCTTCAGTGCTGACAGTGTGAACAGGCGGGTGGAAGCGCTGGCCAAGGTGTTTGAGGACGCCGGGATTCATCGCCCCTCCGTGGGGAACCTCTCGGATGCGATCCTCGCCGAGTGGAAACTTCAACTCACTCGATTGGCGCAGGTCAAAGTGACCAAATCGGAACCTCAGACAGTGGTGAACGCCCGGAGTTTCAGCAAGAGCTTCACGAGATGTTGCAGCAAGCCGATTGCATCTGCGCCGCGTTGGACTGTAGCACCAAGTCCCGCGCTCGAGAGATTCCCAGGAAGTTCGAGGACGGCCGACCCGCTCCGAAGCCCCTGCGGTCAGACGAACACCCTACAGGCCTTCCACACCTCCGAGGGAGTGACCTTCGGCGAGTGACCAAGGACAACCAGGCCTGTGACTTTGTCCTCCAAGAGATCCAGGAGTTGGCCGATCGTGGTGGAGTGTCGCTGCGGGAGAACCCGGCGAGGAGCCTCCATTGGGAGCTGCCCCGTGAGAAGCAGATGTTGGCATCCGGCGATTGGCAGGACACCTGCTACGCAGCATGTTGCTTCATGGGGGCACGGTGCAAGCAGCAGAGACTCAGGCATAACATCCAGGAGATCTCCCAGTGGCCGCCACTCCAATGCCATCATCAGCACGACCCAGATGAGTGGAAGCCATACACCTTGGACGGGCAGCGAGTTTTCCCTAGCCATGAGGAAGCCGAGTACACAGCCCCGCTGGCCTTCGCCATTGCGGTGTCCACTAGTTGGTGGGCAGTGCGTGTCGGTCGAGCCAAGTTGCGCGTCCCTCGGATGCCGCCGACTGAGGCTGTGGGCCGCCGGGAACACTGGCTTCACTATGATCCCCGCTCGATGCGCAGTTGGGCCATGACTCCTTTGGCGATCCAGCTGGGCCTGCGACCGATCGACCCGCGTGAGCGTGCACGGGTGCCTCGCGTGCGCCGCGGCGTTGACCTCTTGGTGGATGGCCAACTTCCCGCCAAGTGCATCTACGTAGGGCGAGGGCATCACAGCCACAAGTTGCCCCTGTCGAAATGGTGCTCTCCGTACACCCCAGGACATGATTGTACCGCAGATGAATGGCTTCCTTGCTATGTTGAGTTCATCATGTCATCCAAGGCGGCGGAGCTCCCAGAGCTGGCGGGCTGCACCTTAGCCTGTGATTGCCCACATGACAGCGACGTTTGCGAAGCCGATGCGCTGGCAGGACTGGTTTTCGACGCCACAGCCCCGGAAGCACCTCGCTACCTGGCAGCGGCAGGCGGGCAAACTAGCGGCATCACTCGACAGCATCTCGAGCATTGCGGTTGGGGGTCATCTCAAGCCGAGGAGTGGCCGCGAGCATCCCAGCACGAGTTGGCCTATTCACCCAAGAAGGCGTTGTCACGTGCTTCCGCCGCCTCTTCCCAGGTACATGGTTCCAAGACTTCAAGTTCCCGATGATCGAAGACCTCCTGAACCAGGCACCGTTCTGTGAGTTTCCACGCTGGAGAGACCAGCACGATCTCAAGGCAGATGGGCCCCTGGGACCACATTTGGCTAGCGCAGCTTTGAGACAGCGGCAGCGTCATGCCGAAGGCCAGCAGGCCGGAGCTTTGAGCCATAAAGCCGCCCTACCTCCGCTTTTGAGTTTTGGGCTGGACCCGGATACCCACTTTCAGCGAGCTTGCCTTCGAAGCCAAGCACCCATCCCGACTGAGCAGTCGCCCCTCCTGGACGATGATCTTTGGTTTGTGGCCGAACTCTATGCATCACGTTCCGAGGACCTACCACGACTCCGCGAGCAGAGCCTAGGCATCTTGAAGGAGCTGAAGCAGCGATGGAGGAGCGTGGGCGAGCGCCTGCGGACTTTCCAAACATCAGCGATTCGGGCAGTCACCCGTTCCCGGGACATCGGACTAACGGCCCTCTTGGTGACCCTGACTTCCTGGGCGGATATCACGTACCCTTACGGCTTGGTAGCGGGACTGCCAGCTGTAGGTACGGCACCACCCTACGGGGTCTTTCCGGAACAGCCAGGGCGTATCCTCACCATGGAGGACGTGCTCGACGACTGGGAAACCCACAACTACAAGACTCTCGCCTCGCTCAAACCCGGCAGACATGATGCCGTGCTGCTGGAGCAATCGCTGAACGATGCCGCCCAGGGTTTCTGCTCTGCACCGTTGACTCATGCGCAGCTCCTACGAGAACTACGAGGAGAACCATTCCGCCTCATCCCCAGATGTGTGATTGTGCAATCCTCGGGCAAAAAGCGGATTATTGACAATGGAGATACAGGAGGCCAGTCGGAGCGTTCTTCGGATTGGAACAAGTTGGTCTTGTGCTCGCCACTGCGCCCGGCGCAACATGTGGGGGCGGTAGCATCGCTTCTGACAGACGAACAGTGGCACACTCTTACGACTGACGACGAGTGGCAGTCAGGAGGGGAAGATTGGCCGAACGCTTATCGGCATTCCCCTATCAGTCAGGCAGAGAGCCGCGGCTGTATCGTCTGCTTCTGGCATGCTGAGCGGGAGGAACCCGCCTTTCAGGTGTATTCATCCCTCCTCTTCGGCCTTCCGCTCGCGGTTACATCGTTCAATCGGTATTCCCGCTTCATTGAAGCCCTGGGCCGACGGCTTACCTACAGTCTGGTGTCGCTCTATTTCGACGATGCCCACATCACGGACCTCCAGTCAGGATTCGGCTCCAGCCAACAAGCTTTTTGTCAGTTGAATTCCCTCTTAGGTACCCCGTTCGCCGAGGAGAAGAAACAGTTGATGCAGCCTACCGGTACCTTTCTGGGTCTTGATCACGACTTTACGAGCCTAAGCCGGGGCTTCGTGACGTTTTGGGCCCGAGATCGATTGATTCAGAAGACAGCTGCGATGATTACCGAAGCTCAGGCACACAATAGTCTGTCCTCAGGCCAGGCATCCAAGCTCTACGGCATGCTCAATTTTCTCGAGCAGGGCATGTACGGCAGGTTGGGTTGCGCAGGCTTGGCAGCCATCAAAGCACGCCAGACAGAACGCAACCGCGACCTCACTCCAGAGCTTCAGCGCAACTTCGATGTGATTCACTCCATCCTTCGCCATCGACCCTGTCGTGAACTTCCGGTGAGGCCGTCCGAGTGTCTGCGGTTTGTTGTAGCTGCAGCTTCTGATGCAGCTTTGGAGGAACCAAAGCAGGGCACAGGAGGATTTTTAATCGTATGGCACGATCCGGTGGGACCGGTTCGGGAAGCCTTCATCGCCAATATTCCTCAGGAAGTTTACCAGCTGTGGGAGCCTGGCGATAGGCAGATAGCCCAGTTGGAGATGGTGATGATCATTTATGCCCTCACGTATCGGGCGCAGGCCTTTCGGGGTCGCCGAGGCATTTGGCTGATCGATAACGTCGCTAGCCTCATGTGTTTGATCCGGGGCCGTTCCCAGTCACCCGATCTGGAGCGCATGTGCGGTTTGATTCATGTCATGCTGTACGCCTTGCGTACTTGGATGTATTGGGAATACATTCCGTCTAAGAGTAATTGGGCCGACGCCGTTTCAAGACTAGGTTGGTCCGATCCGTGGTGGCGAACCAACGGATTCACCCCTTTTTCCGTCTCTTGCCCTTTCTGCCTTTGGCACCTTCCACCGCCAGCAGTGATCCGAGTCGTGGAATTTCTCTAAGTGCGTTGGGAGAATTTGAAGTGCATTGGGAGTGGTTTCCGGAGTGACCGGAAGGATACCACAAGGGTCTGATT